CTTGAATTATTGCATCGTGTGAAAGACGCTTTTATGGGTTGTGGGAGGTGATCCTTCAAATTTACAGATCGTTTTACTCACATTCAAGGCTTTATTACCGACGACTAGAATGAAATAAAATCTCTGCTATGGCTTAATTAAAGTCTAGTTCTCGTTACGAGTCAAATTTCACTATATTCGCTACGGGCAGAGATCGACCAGCGCGCGTCCGGAAGACACAGAGACTCAACAGAAATCCAGGGTATCACGACGCTGCCTGTTAGACAATAACTCACTAGGCTAGACAAATTCAAAGTATGATTGGTGTGTCATCAAATGCAGATTGATGGTACCTCTTATGATGTAGTTTCAGCTTTCTGGTCAGCGCGTTCTAGAAGACGGTTATGCAGGCTCATCTGGACAGCTGATCGCAATCTAACTACTGCTGCACCGTGCGATTGGAACGTCCACCAAAGCAAATGAACAATTAATAGCAAACTATGGCGTGGTCGTATACGAGAGGTGCTCCAGTGCGACCTAGGTTTGTTTTCAGGAGAAAGGAGGCCTGGTGTTGTAGTGGCAGTTTGAGTGTTGGATGTTGGTACTGGAAAGAAATAGGCCAGTGCCAAGACAGAGTCCACAGCCGTTCGGTTCAAAAGGACCTCCGGCAATCCAGAGGTGCACAGGACTAGAGAAATAATTTGCCTCGACCATGCAACGACTGTTGGCTTTGCACAAACCTCTTGAGTTCAATGTACACAACCAACTGTAGATTGTAAGGGACTTTGGTGGGAGTCCGTCGGATGACGGAATTGAAGTCACTTGAATACAAAACACATTGANCTTATACGCATTGCAGTTCATGAATCAAATATGGCTAGCTTGAGAGACCGTTGAGGAGGCAGGAGAACATCCAGTGACTTAGAAGTTAGTTGATGCAGAATATGGAAGGAAAAGCGTACGATTTCCATAAGGTGCATCACTGCTAGTATACAGTAAACTGGTGTTCCTGGAGAAAGTGAATATGTCTAGGAGGCATTGGGAAAACGTAAAAGTGTGGGGAAACGAAAAGTGTTGATGGAAATGTGTGGGGTACGTACAGAATTCTTCGCTATCGTCTCAAAAGAACTAAAGCTCGTGAAATGAAGTAACTCCATGGTTGTTGGCCCTTTGGACTGTTGTACTACTCAGTAGCCCGGTCCAGGCTAGGTCTCCTTTGAGGATGAGCTCTAGCCTTTGAGTAACCGAGTTAGAACTGCAAGGCGGTAGCTTTGCTCCACCCGCGCCAGTGGCTAGGCGTTTGGTTCATCCGCCTTTTTCAAGAACTTAGACAAATGAAGCTTGACAAACAGCAATGGCCGTATTCGGTGGTGGACCGAATTTGCCTCATCACAGCGTTTTTCACAGATGTGTTGTTTTGTGTGGAGAACCCTTCTCAAGTGGTAACCCCACCGCATCCTCGAGCACTGCCGCCGATTATTAACGACTGCTTGTTCAGTGAGCCCAGACAAACTCAAACTCATTGGCCGTCATTTGGTAATTACCGGTCGATCCACCGTCCACGCCCTCGGCATGCGCTTTTCCGAGCCCGGAGCTACTTTGACGCATCATCAAATACCGACAAAATTTTCAAGTCCGAAAAACATTCATGTGACTCACCAGGATGAATACCTTCCGTTGTGCCAAAATTTTTGTCCAAAATGTAGTTTTGATCAACCAATCGGAAAACCAGTACTGATAAGGAATTCACACCCAAATCAACCTTCCCGCAAAGATTTGTGCTCAACCGAATTCAAACACACGACCTAATTTTCTGGACCCCAGTCAGCTGACCGTTTTGTCAATTCAAGCATGTGACTCGCACTGGGTGAGTTTTACTCACACATATTAGTTAACCTACATTGAAATGGGTAAAGTAACCACCGGGTGTTCGCCCATTGCTGTTTCACTAATGGAGAGCACAGTGGGGCGATGTAAAATGTAGCGAAGAAGAAAGGCTCCCGTTAAAAATGACCGTGTGAACCGAAATAGCAAGGTGACGTGTATTAGGTTATGATGTGCGCCGTTCGGCCTGATGGCTTTTATCGACGACACTATGACTGGTAAGAAGTACTCCAATACATTGAACGAAAAACTGAAACCGCTGGATCGGAGATTCACCTGACCTCATTGAATCTACAAGACTTTTTGTGTTGGCCCCATGTTATGGGTTGTTTGAATGCAGTTCTTCTGGCTTTTGTAACGGCTTTGTGATCGGTGGAATTGTCCCGATGAATTTAAATTCTCCTTTACGATCAGAGTAGTTAGACAGGATCTTCAATCAATGTGTCAGATCAACTAAATGCAGATCTGCTCAAATCGGCACATTCCCGAGAAGAAAGGTCGGTGTATTTCGAAAATTCGCTCGCACCTACGTGTTTTGCGACATTAGTAAAACTTTCATTGTATCGCACAACAACTAATAGATTGGCTCGGCTAAGAAGTTGCAGTTTGTTTGCCGTAAAAGGTGCACCAGACGGGATTAATTTCACCTTCCAGTTCATATCCGCCCCCGACTGCACCAAAGAAATTGTTCGAACGATTCCTTGAATACTGCAATGCTTTTACACATGTCCATTCACCGAAACTGCTTTTGTATTTACAACAGATTGGTTCACATCCATCGTTTATTATGCTAAGAACATGGTAGCTGCAACCAAGTAAGTCACTTTCCCTCTTTTGACATTAGAAAAACCAGGACATTCATATACCCCAGAACAAAACAGTCACTTTAGTCCACTTATGGATTAAACGTTTGCATATTGCGACAGTAACATATAGGGCTATCTAGTGTTCCAAATCGGTTTCTTCACTATACCATTTATCCCGTGAAATATCAACTACACCCTTGAACTCCATGGTCGCCTATTTTCTTTGCATTCAGAACTTGCCTTCAATTGTTGACAATTCATCGAATATGCCGACAATGTAGCAGTTAGCTCCTGTTCATCTTTATATCGCGTGAGAGCGAACTCTCTGAGTTGGAAGTGATGAATTTCAATCCAGAAAAGCATTGTTCGCCTCGCAATAACCCTTCTTTGAGGATAATGGCTGGTACCACTGACCCATTCATCCAACTCTATTCACTTGTGGCAATTTCGTATAGCGGAAAACAAGTACAGGTCTTTGCATGTTAGGACTATGACCTTAGCGTATTTGTTATCCCTCGTTTGGCTATACACTTCTGCCAGTCAGATACCGTAACGACTGAGACGAAACGTTCAGCAGGCCAATATCCACGTTCCTTTTCTACGAGTTACTACATCTCAACTGTTTATTCATTTGTATGATAAAACGATGTTCATCGACCACTACTAATCTCCCCTCCAGACTGAACAAGCCTGTTTCTGACTGGACANAAAACGATGTTCATAGACCACTACTAATCTTCACTCCAGACTGAACAAGCCTGTTTCTGACTGGACACCTGAGAGATCGGAACCACGAGTTGGTTTGAAAGTTCTCTATAGCGTGATTTGTCCAAACTGGGTCAGATTTTGAGTGGGCTCTACGAGATTCAATTACTCTTTAACTTTGTTTAGAGGCCAAGTGTTTGTATGAGCCTATTTGATTTTCAGAGACACCGGACACCGTTAACGATCGTGGGTGTGGGCTTCACTTACTGGGAGACTGTTAATTCCGAAACCGAAGTCCCCACAGGAACTCCAAAAGCACGCACTACTGACGAGTCTCAAGAAAGACGGGATGGCTGTCCAGTGCAATTTGTCGATCTTTCAGTCGTTACATGTGAGAAACTTCAATTACGAGTACGTAAAAGTCAAACTGTTGGGTTGAGGAAGTGAACTTAGATTTTCCGTATTGGAGAACCCATTACCGTCGGCATCCTTAGGTTTGTTATAAGAATATGAATGTATTTCGAGGTAAAGTATGCTGCGTAAGTTGTAGGATTTAAAATATTTTTTACAACAAAATCATAGCAAATTTCACGACAAACTGTTCTGGTCATGACTTACTCGAGACGGGGGAACACGTTCGCCATCAAAAAACGACAGGTTGAAAAGTCGAGAATGTGATTGGTATTCAGTAAATCAAGAAAGAATAGCGTTTGGACAGCAATAACGACAACGGAGGCACATTGATAAAGCAAACGAGCGGGGGTAGCAGGCATAACAAACCCCCCTGAGAATGAGATAACCGCTTGTGCCGATATGTGTAGGGGAAATTTCCAGTTGTAGTGAGTACGAATGCACTCAAACGAGCCATCGATATATCAATCAATCACTTATTCAGTCAATTAATCTCAGTCCGGATTACAAAATAGTATATGCAAAATCGAGTTGATCAAAAGAAAAATACAATGCGTTATCGATACCAGGAAAAATCACAGCTTTCAAGAAAAGACTAACACAAGGCTAGAGAAGATAAAGCTCATCTAGGACGGTGAGGATGTATTCAGCATATCGGTCAGAGATGACGGGAAAGAGGTTTTAGAAGAATCATCACAGCAAGGATGTGCAAGGGACTTCATATCTCAGTAAAATCTTACTCATACACGGGCAGGAGAAAATAGAACGAGTGGACAATCACGGCATTTTTTGAGCACAAGAATACACAAGAAAGGGTAACAGAGTGAAGGAATGAATGCAAAAAATGATTGGATGAATGATAATTTGACCAAACGGGTCATAATGATCAGTAATGAAGGTGTGTGTGTGTGTGATGAAGGCGGGGAAGGTAACCCAAAAGAAAGCAGATAATAGAAAAAAAAGCAAGTACATTATGGATCACGAAAAAGTTCGCGACCAAANCAATGAGAAATCACATGGGATTACCAACAGCGCACGTTTTCTTGGTTCCAACATCTGATTCCGATCAGAGAAAGAGCAGTTCGATAAAGGATAACCAAGAAAGGTGATCAGAAGAATAAGACAATTTCGTAAAACAGTAACATAACAGGGACCTTGAGATGGATTGTTCATGGGCAAGGCCGATGTTCTGGGGACGGGATGGGAGTGCCCAGGTTAGAACATAGGCCGTTTATCACGAGTCTGTTCCTGGACATACGCACTAAACCGCTTCAAAAATCGTGGATATTCACGACGAGCTAGAGTACGCAACCCAGCAGCTGGAACCCATCCACCAGGATTGATATTGGCAATGTAAACCAAACGGGTGCGTAAACGATCTCGCGAGAACAAATTCCTTGTAGAGGTTTTGTCGGCGACTGGGGCCAGTACAGTTTGACAGTAAAGAATCACATCCAACCCCAGCCGGATGGTTGGAGAGGTTGAAGGTGGGACCTTGTCTGCCAGGTAGTCTGTGGACATGTTGACCACCATCCAGCTATCCAATACACCGTCTACATCATCCGAACCATGTGCTCCGGTTTGACCAAGCAAGGCGGGCAAACGACTAACCAGATCCAAACCGACCGGATGAACTGTCCTCTCCTCGGGGCGAGACCACGAATCCACAGACAAAGACCGATGGTGAGTTCGTGTTCCGTCAACCGAGGACGTGCTATTATCTTTGCTTTGCCCGGGTGGGAACCGGGTACTGACTTGGCGTATATGAGACCAGAAAACCGAGTCTCGTTGCGTGGTAGGCCACACACGTTTGTAAACCTAGAAAACGATATGAAATGAAGCAGGAGAACTGAAGTCATTTACAACTAAAGATTTCAATTATAAGAATAGCATCATCTACACAGTTGTTATCTGCGTACAAAAGAAAGTGTCAGTCCATTTAAGATCGCTGGATGCGATAATCTCAAAAAGACCGGAAATAAATGCACGGATTAGACCTCCCCGTTCGTCTTAGGAATGCTTAACAACAAGCGGCTGGAGTGTATGAATGCATCCACATCTTTACGTTTTTCCAACTGCAGTTTACAGGTGAATGACCCGAAATAAAAAGAGAATTAATCATGAAACCCGCAGCCTGCAGATCTATAAGAAATCAGGTATCATTAAAAACTTTACATAGCAGAGGAATCAATCAACGGAGGCAAAAAAATCACATTTATGTGCTTTATTGTTCTGGCATATTATACATAACATAAACACTGCAGAAAAGCCCCAGACGACGAAGTTTGAGAATCTAAACACTATTCATAGTATTCCGTTTCGACAGTGCTGTGCTCTACGTCAATAAGTCAAGCATGCACTCTCTTCAGGTACTGCGAACAATAAAGGGAATAGACATAGTGAATCGATGTCAGCACAAGATTGGAATGTTTCCATCAAGCAGATTACCGTTCGGGGTATTTTGCATCTTGGCATAAGCCTTCCACAAATTAATTTGGCTAAGTAGATTAATTCAGTATTGGATGGTTTATCCTTAGAGATGTCTATAGTACCATGATAGATGGGACAATAACGGGAACGCAACCGATTGCAGGTACAGTGAAGAACAAGAAAACGGACTCGTCACAGATCGATAAGAACCCATAAAAAGCACTGTAGCCCAACGGCACTGATTTAAACCACTTGTTCACTGTTACAAAACTGAAAGCCGAATGCTGAATCGTGGAACAGTCTAATGCAAACATGAGAACAAATCAGACAATGAAGAATCAAACATGCTAATTGCGACTGAATACTTACACGCTCACGACCGACTTTGGATTGATCTTTAAATGGTTCAACGATTTTTTTAAATGTCCGAGGCATCGAGAGAAAAAAGAAGTCCGTTTCAGTTTGTCGGGCACCAAACTACCACTCACATAACTCAAGTAGTACCTGACCGCACTATGAAATGTAAGCCGAAGGAAGTAAATGAGCATGAGAATACACACATGATTTTATACCGTTTTCTTCCGGTCAACTATAGGATTGAAATAACAAATCTGGCAGTGAAGTCGCAGATATGTGATTTGAACCATTTGGACCCATCGCCGGTTGCTGTAAGTAACGCAAGTAGCCATGGTGAAGATGGACTAGCAGTACAAGCTATAAAAAACAGAGCTGGCATTTGATATACCATTTTACCAAGAAGCAACCCAACGTTACTCAGGCAATGAAAGAATGAATGACGCATGGTAACTTTTTTCTCTTTTGTTACCTGGAGGTCTTGCAACTATATGCATACAGTAGGGGGATGTGAGCGGAAAGTGTCACAGCAGGATATTCAACAGTTAAGTAAGTTGCGTTTTTCGTTTTGTTCGTATGTGGATAATGAATAAGGGCCATCGAGAACAATATCGCCCCATTTCGTACAGTCTCAGACGTCCTTCTTCTAAGAAAAAGCGGATAGCGTTTTTGTGAACACGATCGTTTTCTTAATCGGAAACAATTATTTCTATTTGAATATTGAAAAGTTTCTGGTCGACAGAGAAGATGATGCAAGGAGGAGGTGGAGTAGAACCTACAAAATCCGAGTTGGACGTTTCTGAACTCCTGAAAACGTGTTTCACAAATATATGCACTCAAAAAAGACCCAACAGGGAGAGCGAAGGGAGAAAAAATGATTTACCGTACAAAGGGAATACAATAATGAAACTAAACGGATACCGAACCTGATACAAAACCACTGTATCATCACCACAAACTTCCAGCACAGTTGGTGCTTGATCGATGGTGAATTCCCAGTCCATACGATACCGAACGTCCCAGAAATAGGAGCACATTTCCCGGGCGGTGACGCCAGGTACCACATGAACGGCCTTCAAGAGAGATAAAATAGGTACAATGGAGGATGTTGCTTAAATTGGTCTGTCTGTGTCATTCAAAAGCGGGAAAAAGTTCAAATTTAAAATTGGTATATTAGGTTCATTCTTCAACGAGCACTTTTAAAAAATCGTTCACCACCAAATTTGAATGGATTTACATATGCTTTTCTGATAACATTTCATTGTGTGCGTGTGTGTTGTGACTTACACCTATTATCGAGCGATTATACTTTTCCACAGTAAAGCACCAGTTGAGACGCAGTGAATGTCCCGGAACTACAAACTGATGCACCAGTGTCTCTGGTATCCTCATTAAGTCCGTTCATACAAGGCCCAATTTTACATAACCGTTTTTAACCACTGCAGGTACTGCAATCTATTCAAAGTTGCGCATCCTCGAGATAGGTTTAGTGGAAACTTGAAAATAGTACTCACCAGAATGATAGTTCGATTTGAGCCTGTTAGAATATGACTGGTTCGATTTCAGAAATTATGACGTGCCGGTATATGTTTTAATTCCGTGGAATCGGCTTTCAATTTAAATAAAAGTTCCGAAAACGTTTGGTTTGAACAGAACGTGAGAAATATTGCCTATTATCTACCGTGAACTGTGAAGCATTTTTCTCAATGACTAACCTATCGTGCTATCATATGACATAGTTCAACCATGTGCGCGTTGATGCTAGACTATGAAGGAACTATAAAGTGAACCATAGCCTTTGTTAAGCCAATGGTGTGACAGGTTAGATTGAGTACATTCAAGTCAAGTCAAGTCAAGGAATAGCTTTATACACCCCGAGAGGTGGATATTCAGCAATCACATAACCATAGTGTGTCAAAAAATCCGTAAAACACAATAGTATGATACAGCTGCTAAAAGGATGTGAAAAGGATCAGCAACATCCAAAATGAGTAGCACACCTGGGTGTTCATGAGGGATTTAGTGTAGTGTTTGACGCAGATTTCCCGTAACGA